GGAAAAGAGTTTGCTAGCCAACCCATATCTAAGCACTGAATACTACAGACATTCAGCCATGACTTTGCATTCAAAATTTTTATTTCAGCATCCTGAGGAAACCTGCAGTCTGAGTCTCAATGACCCATGAGTTAATTACCTGAGTTGAGAATGATCTGAATGTGACATGAGTTGGTCCCAAATGTAGCCCTGCTTATGGACTCCAAGTTAACCAGCACTGCCTAGACTTGATAGCTTTAGGCATGACTGGCCTGGTTCTCCACACACTGCATTCCTAGCCCAAGAAAACAACTCTCAGCTCTGCAGGACTGAGCCAGCCTGGGCTCTCTCAGCCTTCTTATATTGTGTTCACCACTGACCCCATGAAGTGCTGGGGTTAAACCCTGAATGAGGGTTGGCATACGGATGATGTCCACAACCAGGCAAGAAGGGCCCTCCTGATTGGTTTTTGCACATGGTCTGGTCAGCCTTGGCTGGGAACTGATTAGGAGATCACCACCAGGTGCCCCCACCTTCCACATTAACTTGGAGGTGGGGCAAGAAGCCACCTCTATAAGAACCGACTCTGCTCACATTGGAGTTGGGAGGCCTGCCTACACAGTGTGTGTGCTGTGTGGGGACCCTGGTTATCAAAAGGGCTCCCTGACTCTTCATAGCAAGTGGAATTCACAGGGTGGTGGAGGAAAATCATCAATCTCTCTGGGGAAAAAAAAAAAAAAAAAACAACTATATAATTGGACTCATTGTCTGGCTGATTCCATCTCCCACAGCTTGGCTGCTTGGCCAGCTCACTCCCTTCTGCACATCCTTCATGGTGAGTGCATGAACTTGTCTCTCCCTCTGGTTGTCTGGCACTCTGGATCTCTGGTGTGTGATGTGGTAGTGGAGGGAGCTGGTCTGCCTGCTAATGATAATATCATTTTATGTTGGGCAAGCAGTCAGCAGAAGACCCTATGAGACATCACAGTGGAAGCAGCTATGGCACCAAAACCAGCATAAGATGGGAGGATATGACAGAAGTGTCTCTGCACTACGCCTCAGACAGCTGCAGGAGAATTTACAAGATGGGACACAACACAAAAGAGCTAGGGAGCCAGCTCGGGACCAGCAATGCCCAATGCATCCCATTAGCAGGCAGAGCACCAGGGAAAGGTACCACAAGAGCACCAAAGGAGGCTGACAGCACTCAGCACTGTAGCCAGACACTGTACATTGTACTCCCTGGAACAGCCCAAGTTACGCAGGATTTTCTGAGCTATCAGTGTCCCATCTTACATCACTTACAGATGGGTTGAATAATGTTGGTGACTGCAGCAGTGCACACAGAAAAAAAGTTAAAAAGCTGACTACATTTGAAATGTCTGTAAATTCTGTTTGTCCTATGCTATCACTTTTGAAGCACGAAGACATAGCTGTTTGACTACAGCTGTGGCCATTACTGCAGAAAGGGCCACTTTTTTGAATTACATGAGCCACATGGGGAAAAAAATAAGATAACCAATTAACACTTGAGACATAATACTTATTAATTTATACTGGGACTATGTTCAGGTCTACAAGTAAGTCAGCACAGACAGTGCTGCCTCACGATATTGAAGACATTAAAAGAAACCATTATTAGCATAAGGCTTGTCTTCATCCAAACTAGCAAAAATAAATTGTAAAAAAATATCACACAAGGAAACATCACGGACCTTGCATATCTATGGTCTCTGGCAAGGGAAAAAATAGAAGCAAAACACTATATTTGTGTTAAAAACCACAACATATTTCATCACCTGCACTTGTCTCTAGAAGTAAAAGCAAAACAGGTTAAGCAAGAGACCCTTCTCTGCTAAGAGTTGTTCAGAAATTAACTACACATAAAATATGTTGATACAAAATCAATTAATATACACTCAGCCTTTATGGTCAGAAATTAACAACATAACTCACAAATAATTTCCATGCTTTGTAATACTAAATAAAAATCAAAGCAGAGAGATCATAAACTGAAATACATGCTGCAACCTACCAAACATCCTGGGAGATTTCATGGCAGGTGCACAATTAACCTACAATATACTTACTAGGAGCAGGATTGTTGCTTTCCAAAAAAGGGTCATCAACTCTGAAATGAGTTTTCTCCTCAAACTATCACATGACATCCTCCCTACCACCTACCATTCAATTTATGGTTTCAGCCAGCTCTCCTGCCACATACACATTTTCAGCAAACCAGCTTTTACAATTCCAAGCTTTACTCAGTTCATTTGCTGCAGGAAGTTTCGCTGTTATATAGAGATGCGCAGTGAACTTACTCAGGAACATGAGATGGGCCGGTCCTATCAACATCATCATAAGAGAGTACAAATTTATGCCTTTGGCAGTACTGGTTGAGCTTGTCCATACACTCCCGTTCCATTTTGACACAATCTCAAAAACGTTCTGCAAAGGAACATTCAAAGACACATCTGTACCTCCAAGCATAGTGTAAGACAGCCCCTAAAGCTGCTGTGGTATAAAACAGAAAACTGGTGCCAGTAAAGTAAAATTCACAATTTCCAATTTCTCATTCAAAGGGATGATCTGCAGCTACTGCTGAGGACTCACTGCTTGGAAGGGGAGATTCAGAAAGCAGAGCAGACAATTTAGGAGTTAGAGAATACTTAGCAGATTGCTTGGTGGGAAAAGGCTTCATCATTCCCCGAATCCTGGGGGTAGGGGAGGAAGGAGGAGGGAAGCTAATAGCGTGTCTTCAGTCGGAATTGTAATCTAATGCTTCAGAAAGGGAACAAGAGGCATTTTAACATACCCTTCCAAACCGCGATGAGGGTCAGGCTCAGCGTCACGCACCGGGGATGAGTCCGGGCTCCCGGCGGCGAGGCACTCGCGGAGCAGGCGGCCTCGGCGGGACCGGGCGGACGGATCCCCTGGCC